AGCCTTTTACCATAGGGTATGGAAATTTTTACCACATGGAAGTCCATGTGTTCACATGGGCTGGAAATTTCCGCAACACATGGTGGGTACATGTTTATCTTCATTTCTAGTTCTAGCTCTTCCCTTCCCAAACTAGCCTTCAAAACCTACCCGTCCAGCCCTAGTCCTTCAGAAAGCAGCTCCAACAGCTTATCCGTTACCCTCAATAACTCCTTATTGTATTCTTCAGTAACTTCCCAGCACAAGTAGTCTCATAAAACATATCAAAAGCAAGGCTAGGATGATGATGGAGTATGTAATGTATGTACCTGTAAAAAGAAGGGTTTTGGGGCCAGATATCATATGTGACCTTGGAAGGGGGAGACGTGAGGTGAAAGAAGTAGTCAACCCACTCAACCTTCTGGTCATGGTTCTTGGTCATTTCGGTGCCATACCCTTCAAACTTGCCCTTGGATGGGTCATTGGCGTATGCCTCTTTCTATTCTTGTGGGAGCTGAAAGAACTCTTGCACCACTTCCTGCAGCCGTTTGATCAACAAAGGCGATATCCCATGATCAGTGATCAAGAAAAACCCCCACTCATTGCACGCCTCTGATACCTTCTTCACCAAGTCATCATGAGACAATAACAATGAGACGACGGACACGATCACTCCTTCAAGGGGTTTAGCGTTCTCCGGTCGCTCATGTGCCGGCCGGATGAATGCGGCCGGAAGTTTAGTGAGGCCACCATAGGCTAGAACTTGTACTCTCTTAGCCTCCATATTTATGATTTTGATTGACTGTGTTCGTTTAAAAGGTAGATGAATGTGTTATGAAACATGATGTCCATATTTATACGTAAGGTTGCAAATAAATGTGAGACTAAGGGAGTAGGAACACCGGCCTAAAAACGTGTTTACTAACCGTTGTAAACCTAATAGTCAAGCCGACATAACGTATTGAACAGCGATAAAAATAATCAATTAATTTTTTTTAAAAAAAATGATCTTGAAGAATCATTTAAAAAATAAATAAATTTATATTTTCTTTTAAAAAATAAAAAGTACTCCAAGAATCATTTTTTGTTTTTTATGTTAACCAAAAACCAGAATATTTTTGTAAGGTTGGTAGAACCAACATTAAATTTTGGTGTCGGAAGAAAGAAGCAAACATTTTTAACTCCATACCTGTCTTCTCTATTATTATTATTATTATTATTATTATTATTATCATCATCATCATCATCATCATCATCATCATCATCATCATCATCATGATCATGATCATCATCATCATCATCATCATCATCATCATCATCATCATCATTGATGAGCTAAATTTATATACATATTAATAGGAAATTTTTACTTTGATATTATTGATATTTGGATGAGTTTTATGGGATTTTGTTTGATTTTACATGGTTTTCATTCTTTGTGTAGGAAAGGATTTAATTGGAAGAAATCCTACTTTTTAGAAGTAAATTGAAGAGATCAGAGACTTGAGGATCAACTTGTGCATAATCCAGAAGTCAGGAACCAAATATGCTATTTTACTATTGAAGAAATTGCAAAAGGAGACCAAAAACCCGACACGGGTGTAGTGTCAACACATGGTCGGGGTGTCGACACCATGCGTTAAAAGTCCAGAATTAGATTCTGTTTCCTATTTTGTGTCAACACGTAATCCGAAGTGTCAGCACCACGTGATCAGCATCCAAAATTCAGTTTCCTATTTCTGTTCCAAGTCCTACTTCTATTTCAATTAGGGTTTCTAAAATCTTATAAATACCCATCCAAATTCAGAATTAAAAGAGTTTTTGAGAGGCTGATGGCAACCATCTTTTGGGGCACTCTTGGATGTCAAAATAGAGGATCCATCAACAAAAAGATCAAAGATTTCAATTACCTCAAATTAGGTTTTGTTTTTCCTTAGATAATCTTATGTTCATAATTGTGATTTCAGATTTTATTATTTTTATTATGAATTGATTTATTCTACTAGGGCTACGATGTAGCCTAATCAATTCAATATGGATTTTGTGATTTTATTCTTTTAATTAAAGTTATTCGCGTGAGGAGTTTATATTATTAAACTTAATGCATTGGAAGCCTGATCATCTTTCAATTGATTTAGTGATTTATGCATGAACTTGAGAAAGAATTGCGTAAATTAGACCAATAATAATATAAATCGTGTGCTAGACTATGAAACCGAGAGGTAATTAGCTCACATGTGGTAGTGGAGGAATAGAAGAGAGTTAGGAGCTCCCCCTTCTTAAGCTAGAGGTTTCCATAGAATTTAAAGCTCATAAGTTTGTTTAAAATTACATAGAGATATAATTAATTTAACAAACAAGTGAAGGATTAGCTTCACTTGAAAAAGCTGGTTAATTAATTTAGGGAAATCCGCCATCACATGCAATAACATTCAACAATTTGGTAATCTAGAATTTATATTGATTGATTATAGTGAAGTCAATGTCTAAGTACCTCATATCTTGGTTAGTTTTATTTTAATTGTTAGTTTCTTTTTGTTATTTTAATTAAAATTCCATCTTTTCGATAGTTCAAATAAATTTAGATTAATTATTTTGGTACTAAGTTGGACACAATCCTCATGGGTTCGACACTCTTCTCATCATTATATTACTTGGAGCGACTAGTACACTTGCTAGAGTGATTTTAGTGCAACAATCATCATCATCTAAATGTTTTTAACCAGCTTTCGAATATTCATTCCTTTTTCTTGGTGTTCGGTATTGAACGGGTGCAAAGCCCATTACATTATGTATGTAGTCCACATTAGCCCTGAGGAAGGAAAGACTGCCTGAATGGGCCGAGTCATGATATGAAGCCCAGAGGACGCTCGGCATAGCAATTATCAAGCCAAACCCAGCATCACCTACCCACGTAATTGGGCTGTCAATTTTTCAGAACGGGCTCACAGGCCAGGCCTTCTCAGGTGCATAACTTCCGCGAAACGATGTCGAACAACCCATGACTGAATAGCGGTCGCCTGGGTCAAAATTACATAAGCAGAACCAATCACGCCGCGCCACGTTGGGCGAACCAGGCCAGAGGACCAATCAGGACCAATTCGGTCGTTTATAAACACAGTCGCCACATTTATGGAAAGAAGAAGAAGAAGATCCCAGAGAACCAAATCACGAAACCTAGGAGGAGATCGCTCCCATGGCGTATGTCGAACGAGGTGAGGATCCTCTTTCTTTTCAATAATCTCCGCACGTCTCGGTTTCGTTAACCTAATTTCGTATTTCAACTCCGATTTCTGGTGCTTTGATTTCCTTTAATGGATTCCTCTCGTTAGATCTCTACCTGTTTCTGCTGACTCGATCAGTATAATTTGCCATTCAAACTTGGCAGATGCCATCCGGCATTATGGTCAATTTATCTGTTTTTGTGGCAGATTTATTAATTATGCACACTCAATTATGTTTCAGTTTGGTTGATTGATTATTGTTTGTTTCTTGAATAGATTTTTGGTTGGCGATCCTTAACACTACATTTTTCAGCAGCATTGATTGATTGTTTGATATCAGTTATAGCTAAATTGCAATTTCCTGTGCTGTCGGCACGATTCAGAATGCCAAATGTGGCGAATTACGTCTCTTTGTTTATTCAGGTGTTGTGAAGTCCAAGAGGTCAATATGCAGACTGAGAACCATTGTTGATTTCTTTTGGGCCATTGTTAATTTCATAGGCGTATTTTTTGCGACTATGTTCTCGGTATTTCATCTACATGCCTCTCTGTTATTTGAATTAGTAATTTAGGATAAAACAATTAGGAGTTCATTTTCTCGAATGCTTGACATGAGTCAGATGGAAAAGTCGGATGCCTACAGAAAAGGATCTGGTTCTAGCAAGAAATCGGATGATGGCCCCGGTGGCCCTGGGAGCGGACCGTATGGTGGTGGCCCTCGTCGTCCTCCTCCACGGGGATTAGATAATGTTAGAGGAATTGATCATAGTAAGTCTCTGTTTTATTATTATTGTTTTACTAAATTCGTAGTTATTCCTACCATTGTTTTAATCTCATTCACTGTGTGTGTCGCAAATTGTCAGATTCCTTGCCTGCTTGTGGCTCCTGCTGCGGTGGCTAAGTGTTTTTCGCATCCATTCCTGTGCCATCTGCAGTCATACATCCTAAGTCCTAAGTTTGTATGATGAAATGAATTTTCCAAGTTTCTTAATGTCAATAGATGCCTGTAAAAGAGAATAAAAACTCAATGAATCCAGAAACCTTTCCAGTCTTTCCCTTAAAGCATACTCTAGTTTCTTCGCAAATGGCTATAAGCCCAACTTTGTTGCATTTTTTAAGGAACTGGTAAGCTCGAATATTGCTGCATTTTGTGTTAAAATGTAAACTTGCCAAGGTTCATCCTAAACTCGTTAATGAGCCGAATCCACCCAAGTGTAAGACTAGAAATTTCAGCTGCTAAACTAACTGAAATTGAACAAGCGATTCTGAATTTTTCTCCTCTGCGAACAGAATAATATAGGAAAACCATACCATTCCATCCACGGGCTGTTCGCTATTTTGATGTCTTCATCTCTTTCATTGCATCTGAAATAAAGATTATTGTCAAGATTTCTTCAAAAACCATGAAACTCTTCCCTTCTATTTTCTCATTCTCAATAACTTCTGTAGCATGATAAAACAAGGTTTCATTTACAATTTCCAAAGAAACAATTATCTCGATCTCATTAACTGAAGTCTGAAACCTAATGGTCTAATGCTAACTACTCTTTAAAAAGACAGACTTTGATTCCAAGAAAAAGAATCAGAAGTTATATAGAAATATGCATCTTACAATTAGAATTGACTCCAATAATTTATAAATCGTTGCTGGGTTTTCTCCCTGATAAATTCAAGTTTCTGCATCATTCTCCGCACTGCTTAGAAGCATATCCAAAAGAAAGCGACTGGCATCGAAACGCATCAAGTTTTACTTGTAGCCTTTTACCCAAACGGGTAAATCGTAGAGAAGAACCCCAAAAACAAATGAGAGACCTATTGTAGATAGGGCATAAGCATATGCTCTCCAAGGCCGATGACTTCCTCTCATTGCATTGAACTCGGCAATGAAAGTAGAAACGGTACTCAAACAACCCAAGAATCCCAACTGAATACCATCTACAACAGTTTCGCAAGTCCTGGTATTTACCTGCAACAAACCAAACTGACCTCATCAAAAATAACTTTTAACATTGTACTCCAAGCAGTGGCTAAAAACAATAATAATACTCTAAGCAAATATATAGTGCAAAACACCACACAATTTTGCAGATTAAGCATAATTGTCTAAAATGAATCGTTTGCCACCCACATTTGCACGGTTTGGCACTCTTGCCTGTGT